ATCACAATAATGTGACAATGCTACATATACCAGAGGATTTTACCAATATGTGGTCAGTGGTGGAAGAAGTACTCTGATCCTTTACCACTGTGTAAAAATACTCTGTTACAAGTAAAAGTCCTGCATTCAAAATGTTACATAAGTATTCATTATGCAGAATGGCTCATTTAATGTGAATGTATATCTTATTATTGAATTATAATTGCTGATGCATTATTGTGTGCGTCACATTTAATGTTGCATTCTGGTGAAGGGGGAGCTAGTTTTAAGTATCTTATATGTTAGGGTACTGCTGGGTAGTTTGTGAATTTTCTACCAGAGATCAATAAAGTTTTATGGTTATATTGTATTTTTGTATTAATCTGGTTATGAAAAATAACTAGTAGCTAACTAAACGTATAAAATAAATGCAGTGGAGTAAAAAGTACAATATTTGCCTCTATAATGTAGTGGAGTTGAAGTATGAAGTAGCACAAAATGAAAATACTTAAGTAAAGTACAGCTATACTCGAGTACTGTTGATAATACACAATTAAATGTGTTTGTCCAGTCTTTGGCACATTTAATTGTACAGTACTTGAGTAAATCCACTTAGTTACTTTCCCCCAATGTATGTGCTCAATTATTAAAGTTACTTGTTTGTTTTTGTATCTGACTAATCATTTCAAAACTCTGTTTTTCTAAGTGACTCACTGCATTCAGCGGTTATGCCGGTTGTGAATTAGTCTCTATGTCTTGAAAACCAATTGTAACACTCTGAGTCAGGGGGACCAGTCTGGTAGTCATGCAGTTCCCCGTGCACATAAAAAAAAAAGCCAAAAATTACTTGCAAATGCTACTTGTCCCAAGCTGTGGACTGAAGCTCAGTTTCATGTGTCCTGCTGTTTGAATATAAAGACATGAATGCATCAGTAACTCGCAAAAAAACAGAATGATCGTTTTTCAGTGATGTGGCAGCCAAACCACCAGCGAATAAAGTGAGTCCATCTGGAGTAAAACCATAATGGAAAAACAGCAGTTTTTTTTCCCCTGAAATATCCTAAAGCGCTGCTGCCCCTTTCTGAGACCAGGTGCCTCACGTAGATAACCAAATGAAGAGTCTGTCGTTACACGTCGCTGAAACAACAGTCAACACAGAAGCGCGCACACAAAAGCAAACGCAGCTGTCCCTCTAGCGAGACACAGGGTGCCTTCACAGCACCGTCAGCCAGTTGCTTTCCAGAAGTATTTCTTATTAGACGGCCCTCTCTTTTTCTCTCTGAGTGGGGCTCAGACTCTAAAGTCCTCTCTGTGTGTAATGAGATCTCTATCAGAAGGAAACACGATCACACTCTAAAGGGGGGTGAAAGAGGGGATTGGGAAGGCAAGGAGAGAGAAGGTGTATATCATGAGGGGTAAAGCGGGTGGGCAGCAGGGCGTGGGGCAGGAAAGAAACAAAAACAGGCCCCTGACCCCCTCAGCAGTGACCCACACCACAGCGAGCCGCAGAGGGGAGCCTTCGCCGGACTCTTTGCAAGGAACCAAATCCTGTTTCTAGTCTAGTCCTGAAGTTTCATCCGGCACTTGTTCAACAGGTTGCGGCAGTTTCAAGTTTTACAGTTGCAGCCTTTTCTTTTTACCTCTTTGTTATATTTACATATCGGTGTAGAAGAGGGTCAAAGTTTTCATTGTGTTCAAGAACAAATCTTTAAAACTTTTGCTTTGAAAACAGCAGCTTGTAAAAACAAAGATAAGGCAGAAGGTTGCTTTTTCATAATTACTTATTTTTTTCTTTCAATTATCTTATCAGAAGATAAAACTGGACCTTCCGTGCACCTATCCTACCAACAGTTTTGAAAAAGTATTTAACAATAAACAGCCACCTCATCTCAAAGTACAGTTGTTTTTTTCCTAAGAGAAAATTCTAAAACAAAACTGTTTTTCTCATTTGGAATAAATAAACATGTCTGCTAAATATCACAGTGGTAATCAAATCCAGCATAATCACCAAACTCACTGAACCTTTAAACCATGCGAGTATATTATAAACCAAATCAGTCAAGTGTTAAACTGTGAGCCAGGAGACTGAGGTCAACGAACACCAAAATAAGATGAGTAAGTAAAGACCCACATCAACACAGGCTTTAGCTGCCTTCTATCCACACAAACGCCTCTCACTGTTATGCCGTTTTGTGGCCGTTTGTGGGCTTCAAAACCGACAAGAGGCCAAAAATTGTCTGTAATCTGTTTCCAAGCCCTTCTGAAATGTGAGGAGTTTAAAATTAATGCAGCAGACTCCTGGCCAGCCTGTGGCTGTTTTCTCGCTGTACATTTTTAGAGGTGTGCCGGTGTGTTTTCCATTTCTCTCCCATCATCTTGTTTGTCTCCTGAGCTGCAGCAAACAAGCTGAGGTAGCTACAGGTCATGAGGTAAATATTGGCTAAGGAGGGTTAGAGGACGCGCAGGAAGCACTCGCAGCAACCTTGTCAGATTATCATTAAATTGGCATCACTGCAGCATTCCTGAGTACACTGCGAGTGTTATGTGTGTGTGTGTGTAGCAGTCTATACCTGTACTAGCTCAGCCAAACCAGTGGGACGTGATCAGTCATAACAAAGTGACATTTTCAGGCGTAATCCCACTCAGCTAAATGAGAGCTAATCCGATTTGCTCTGATCAAATGTTAGACGGTTCTTTACCGACCGGGGACGTTGACACATCCAACCTTCTTCTGCATGGCTGCTCCTCCATCCAAAATCCCCTCACCCTCGCCATTTTCACTCATCCAGCTTCAAATTAAGCACCCAAAGGTCTGACACATCCTGCAGCAAAACTAAACATAAGGAGCTTTCTTCTTCTTCTTTACAGATGGTGCTACAGCGATGATGTATGTTGCCTGTTCAAGCTTGCTGGGAGGAAATCAATTACACAAACCCCAGTTATTGATAATGCAGACGTGGGAGTGATAGCATCCTCACATGGAAATCCATAATAGCAGGAACACCCGGAGGTGGTAAGCCTGCCTGCACACACAAGACACACTCGCATACACCTTAATGGCCCAAACCTGCTGCTTTCCTATATTTTGTCTCATAACTCATGGCCTGTAGGGAGGTGCTGGTATTGTTATATTTTGTGTGAATATGGTACAGTGTGCAAGCAGAGAGCCAGATGAATTTATTAGCTAAGGCAGCAGTGTTCCCCAAAGTGGGAACAGGAAGTAAGAAGTCGTAAATCTAGACAAGTCACCGGATAGTGTACTGTACATTTCTTTAGGCCTCTCTTTCTGTTATCACTATGTAGCAATATTGGCCAAGACAGGGAGAGGGAGTTTAAAACAACAAACAGTGAGGACGGATGCTGATTGCTGAACAAATATTCCCATTTTATTGCCTATCAGACACCGCTGCTGACTGATACATTTCAGAAGAAAAATAGGTTTGTCTTTTGTTATTGCAAAGCCTGCAAACAGAAAGATAATTGTCTATTGTTTTTTAAGTGCACAGCAGCAGGATAATTAGGTTGAGAGAACGCTCAGCAGAGTGCATTATTGTTCCACTGCGAACTTTATGAAATATTCAGCTGGCACAGATTTTACAAGGAACAGAGCGGGGAAACAGATGGAGAAGTGATCATCCAACTCTGAAAATCAGTGTGGCAACCTTCTAAGACATTCCTGCCAGGTGACATCATCAATCAATAAATGTATCCCCCTTTTATTTATTTGTCTACCCATGACTGACAAGAGCCTGGTTTTGTGCATGCATAAAATGTGTGTGTGTATATCTCTGTCTGATGATGCTCATTGTTACACTAGCTCTGCAGCCATAGTGAAATAAAACCTGATGGGCCGTAGTCTTACCATTAGGACCAGGCCCCACACACATATATCTGCACACACCCCAATGAACATGGCAGCAATATTCATACTCACTGACTGCACAACGAGCTCCTGTGACATCTGACATTTGGGGGATAAATCATGGATTTGCTTGAATGAGTAAGTTCTAGTTATAAGCTGGTAGAGCTACTCTCCATTTCCCCTCGGTGCAGTGAGCTCAAATGAAGGTCAGCTCCTCAGCTCCAGAGGGTTTTAACTCTCTTTTTAGTTTATTTTCCCCTCATGTATGCTTTCCAACATCGTGGAAATGTAGGAGTCAGGTCTAAGTGGGTGATAATTGTTACCAGATCATATTTTATTATCAGCAGTCTGGGCTCACTATGCTTGTTTTGATGGAAATAGTATAAGTTTTTAGAAAGACGCCAGGCTGTAGCGGCTTGCTTTTGAGAGATTTGATTTAATGTTGATAAATTAGGCTGGATCCATTCCAGGGCAGCTGATACAAATGTAAGTAATTTCCCGTGATACTGGAAACCAACTTGTCACACAGTTTTGTGTGAGTCCAAACTTGGAGAACTGGGATGCAATGTGGCCTGGCCCTCTCGGAAGCCCAACAGGGCCCATGTTAGGGTTCCCGAGACAGGCTCAAAGAAGAAATATCCTGGGATACACCTTGACACAGCTGCCATGTTTTCATTGACTTTTCTCTTTCATTCTCTGCTCAGCTTATTACATCGACTACAATAAACTGTAGGGAAGAAATGGACAAACTGTAGCAGCTATCAGGTAGTGTCCCAGTGGACTCTGCCCTCAATCTAGTAATAAAAAGGTGAATGTAATATCATCATAATTGTGTTATAATTAACTTACCTATCTATTATAGTGATTTAAGTGGGGCCTACTCTGCATTGTATAAGTCAGTGCCTACTAGGTTTCTTTGGCGTAGGGAAATTCCCCAGAGAAATAAATCAACACAAAAATCTGAGGCGCTGGGAATTACTATTAAAACTAAATAAATTGTGGTCTTAAAAAATAAGTACTACATTTAACAAAACATTTAGCACAGTTTGCACACATTGGTAACTTTTCCAATACTGTTAGTCCTCCATTGCGCACACACCCAGTGAGTGGAATGCTTGTACAACTGAAACTTACTAGTATGCGTACAAGTGAGACTTACTTGGGATTCTGCGAGCTCCAAATTATAGTATCCAGCGATTTTGCTGAAGATAACGCCGACCTGCATATTAAAATAAAGATCCACAGGTAATACTTCCAACAACCAAGTACCGCCATTCTGATAAATGTGCGAAGAATGAGCCAATAACTCAGAGCGTCGCGCAGTGCGCCTGGCAGCCTTTATCTGTGGTTCGCCCGGTGGGAAGGTGAGCTACGATCAGTCAGGAGCATGTGAGGTCGATATCAGATACATGTCCTTCTGTCCGAGTTCTTAAACCCTCCTCCAGACCCCCTTGTCCTTGACTGAACTGTCCGCAGGACGTGTGAAGAAACCCCTGGTTCTTGATGTGGTCTGGAAAGCAGCTTCGAGTGTCCTGGTTGACCTGTGGCTGAGACAAAAACAGCCCTTCACGACCTTTTATACTCTGTGGACGCAACTAGGCTATACGTTCCGATGTGTGATGAAACAGATCTAACCAGGCGCAGTTTTTGGAGACACAATCTTGCACCGCAGCTGCCGATGAAGCGCTGCGCCGTGTCTTTGTCAAAGCCCCCCGACTGTGTTTGTACCTGTCGCTGTATATAGCCTACAGATGACCACATTCATCCATCAGTCACAACTCCGCAGCACGCTGGGAATCCCAGGGTCCACTTCATTCCAGTGTTATCTTTCACTCCTCCTCCCCCTGCTATTCTTCTTCACAACGGAATTCAGTTTCTATTGTAAATATCCCTCCCGGCTCTCAGCGCCGTTCCGCGTGCGTGTTGCGCTCTAGCCGTGTATCTTCTAGTTCAGCTCGGGCATGCTGCGTAGCCAGCGCGTAAATATGCTGCCTTTCCCACTTGACTGTCGCTGCTTGGACAAAAAAAGTGCCGAGGGAAGGTTAGACCTGCACACCAGTCCGCTCGTTGACTCCAAATCCGCCCGCTAACATTTCCAAGCCGGTATCTTTTTTAACAGTCTGCAAGACTCTCTGCGCTTCGATGTGCACAGCAGCTCGAGCTCAAGTGTAACCCGAGCCGAGCAAAGCGCAGGGGAACAGCCCACAGTGCGCGTCGCGGCCAATCACAGCGTTCTGTCCGAACTTGGAAGCAGGAAGCGAAGGCAATTATGGGGACGTGGAGGGGTGGGTGATGGATGGAGGATGGGGGGTGGAGGGAGGGGAAAGGGGGTCTGTTATTGGGTTGACCCCACATCTCCACCTCCACCACCTCGGCCTGTGCCATCAACCCAAATTGAAATGGACTTTGGAGTTATTCGTCATACTGAAAGCTTTACTGGGTAAAACGAGCTTGATAGGCTGCTGGAGCGCGCGTAAAAGTGCTTATAGGGGCAAAACTCTAGTCCCCTTAAGTCCTGAACCAGTTTGTCAGTGTAGCTACAAAACTGAACGTTCATGTCATAACGTTCCTTTAACACTAGCCCATGAAATATTCCTACAAGAAATAATAATTATGTCTGTGGTAGGTAGGAAAAGTGAATAAGTGAATCTGTAAGATTTTCTCTTTATAACTAGGCTATAATTTCAGTTTAATACTGTCTTTAACACACACACAGACAGATACACACACACACACACATTATGTACATATATATATATATATAACATATGGATTGAAATGTCTGTTGCTTTGGCACTTTCTCTTTCCTTCTTAGAAGGGAATGATGATTAATGGTCTTTTAGGATCTCTTTCGAGTTGTCCCCCTCTGGGATAATGAACTGCAAGAGAACTTAGTCTCCAGTGTCAATAGACAATAGACGGTCGGTAGCCTGTAGTCACTAGGCCATTCACTCATTGAGGAAGAAATGCTTGACACATAATTGATCATGTCCATGTCTATGTCCCCTTTGTGTGAGTGTGTGAGCATGAGAGAGTCACCCTTAAATTTTTTGCATTTATTCAACCAATGCCGCCCCCTTATGGTCGTCATGAAATTGATTCACAGAGTGGAGGAGGGGAATTCTGTATAATTGGAAAGGAATGATGAGACATTTAAAGATGTCCTTTTGTTGTTTTTATTACATTCTGTTGTAACAGCCCATTAATCTTAGTGAAACAATAAGTCCAACATCAGCTTCACATCCAAATGATAATCACTCTAATTACCTGAGTGTATTTACTGCAAGTTTGCTGCTGTGTGTTTGTGCCAACAGGGGCCACAAAACTGGAGTGCCATGGCTGCATCCTCAGGAGCCTGGCAGACTATTAGAGTGTTGTCATAGTGACAACAAACACAGGCCAGTTGCCACAGAGCTGACATGTCCCATCTGATTGCGGGGACATCTGGGATACCTGATACCTTAACAGCCAATCAAGTGGTGGTGGACAGATACTTGATCTGCTGTGAGCTAATGAAATGCCTCCTGTGTCCAAGTTTAATAGCTGCCACAGTCGAAGCTGGGTGACCAATAGGAATATGACCCACAGGACCTGGGGAAGCAATAACAACTAATCTTTTATAACAATACAAACCAGTACATATGGCACAAGAACAAAACATGGTCATTTTCAGTACAACACAAGCTTTATGCAGCGTGACACACAGCGTATATTGAGTGTAGCTTTCACATTTGGTCACATCCTGGGAGCTTTGGAGCGTTTCCCCCCCCCCCCCCCCCCCCCCTTAGATAGCTACCTATGAAATAGTGCTGTTTTTGAGGAATAAGGTCATCATGTTAATGTGTATAGGTGGCTGTGATTAGTGCTGCTATAAATAGCCTGAATGTACTTTGATACCACATAAACTCAGACACATAGACACTGTAAAAAGGTGTCAGGCTGCAGCTAAAGGTTAGTTTCATTACTTATAATTAATGTTTCAGCAATCAATACATCATTTAGTTTATAATATGCAAGACATTGATGAAATAAATGGCATGCACCATGTCCAGGAACCCACGGAGACAATGTCAATCTGCTTGTTTTGTCTGACCAATTCAAAACCTTAGACAGCTCTGCCGATTTAGAGCCAAGGCGGTGATTTAAGCTAAATGCTAACATTAGCATGCAGACTTACTTACAGTAACAACATGCTCATTCTAAGTAATGGTAATGGATGCTGATTGGAATACCATTAGTTTACTTTTACAAATTTTGACCTCATAATGGCTCTAGAGGGAACACATTACTGAAGTTCATCCAACGGGGGATATTATTGTTAATCCAATCAACAGTTGTTGAGGCATTTCACTTGAAACCAGGAATGTCAAGCTCTTGGTGGTACTAGAGCAAAAGGCATGGGATCATTGTGGTCATAAGGGTCTGGTTATGCTCAATCACTGATTTATACCATGAAGCAATGTTGTTTAAAAGTGGGGATTAATAAAGTGGTGGTGGATTACCAACATATCATTAGCACTGCTAAAAATATTAGGTTTTCAGTGACATTAAACAGAGAAAATATTCTCATTTAGGGACCTGAAACCAGAGAATATGTAGCATTTTGCTTGATAAATGACTAATCCCTATAATTAATCAGATATCAGAATTCTCACAGATTATTATTCTTGTCATCATAATAATTGGTTTCAGCTCTAAAATGGAGAACAGTTGGACAGCTGCTGTAACTTCTGTTTTCTTCTCTGTGAAACCACAAGATGAACCCTGTGCCGAGGACATAGTTTCTATACAAACTGATATTTACACTTTGCAAACATTGAAACCATGACATCATCGTTCCAGGAGTAAGCCACTGTGGGTCTGTAGTCAGTCCAGCAACCTCACCGTGAAAATAAATCACAGTTTAAGTGGCCTTCTCTTGCTTTTAATCTGCCCTTAATGAAGTCTGGCACATTTCCCTGCAGTGTGGCTCCACAAAACAGCCTTGATCTAGAGACCAGGCTGGAGACTAGAGGGCTGCAGCCTCAGTAAAGCTGTGGGAGATGTGGCCATGGATCTAGGTATAACCGGAGCCCCTTTGGCATGCACGGGGTCAAGTGGTTAACCCTCGTTATCTGGAGAGAACGAGGAACATGTGACTCGGATGTTCCAGCTGTAATCAATATCGAACAGCCATTAACCACCAAGACAACGCATCCTCACAAACACAGACGCACACATGAGCACTTAACAACATGTTTCCTGTCCATCTCACACACTGTAAAGCATTCACTAAAAGAAACACAAGGGCATAAATGGATTCACTACAGACACTGAGCCAATTGAAACCGTGGAAAAACTCTTGTTAATGTAAACGCACTATTTTCAGAGGCTGACACTCGAAAAGTTGTTGTGTGAGCTGTTCATGCTGCTTTGATTTAACTGTAACAGCAGCGAGGCCAAACACAACAGCTGGAGCATCCGCAGACATACATTTCCTGTTTGTGGTATATGCCTGATTGCTGTCCAGATGTCTTCCTCCTCTCTCTTCTCGTTCTGCTGCTTCACTCAACCTCCTCTCCTTTACTCATCTCAGCCATCATGACTGACAGGAAAGCACTGATTAGAGACAAATAACAATTTGTGCTAAACATGTCCTCCCTGTTTAACATCCCAGCAGGAGATGTATGTAAAACCTCTCCTCTCCTCTCCTCTCCTCTTTTCCTACTCTTCTCTTCTGTCATATCAATAATTAGGTTTGAACAAGCTGAGACAATGGCTGTTTCGTGTAACCATCTTTGTCTATATATAAACATTGTGGAATTTTGATTACGATCCTGATTGGTGGCTGGCTGTGATCCTCCTATCTTAACTCCCCACAATTCCTGCATTATACCTTTTTTGCCTCTCAGATGAAAATAGAATTTGAAAAGAGAAAATGTTCTTTGATGCTTAATGTCAAAAAGCTTGGCGCTCAACAATTC